TGTATTACGTCGTTTTTTTTTGTAATATGGGTTTTAATCCAAGTATCTAAGTTGAAGAACTGTTTATTTTCGGCAGTTTCAAATCACAATTCAAAATTCTAGACACATGTTATCTACTGGTTTCAATTTTACAATAAAAGTGATTTCTAAAACTGTAACATCTCAATAAAAATTTTTACCTAGAGCTATAAATTGGCAGATTTTGTAACTCTTATTCAAGAACAAAACTCAATTTTAATAAAACCTCATTGTAATAAAAAAAAGCCACAAAAGATTAAATAAACACAAATTTCACGATTTTAAAGACGACAAAGTACGTCTACAGTGGGTCCACAGCACACTAACAGACGCTAACGTTTAAAATAACTCTTAGCTTGACGTAGTAGCGCCAAATAGGGATCGCCCACAGTTGCGCAACATATTATCTTTAGTTGAGTGGATCGTGCAAATAACCACCAAACTATCTCCCAAACACAAGTAGGGAGGGACAGTAGGGTAGTAACTTAAATGTTGATGTAACAGAGAGAGGTCGAGACGTGGTATTGTCTTTGCTTTCGGGCGTGGATAATTGGGGTTCGATCCGATAATTGAACTGTTGAAAATCGACTGAATTTTAATTATTATAGATTGCAGATTCATAGTCAAAATTTTCTTATCAGTTATCAATGTTATTACTACATATACCTAATATTTTTATAGATACATAAATTTTGTTTTGATATATTTTTATTTTGTTTTTTTATTCTTTTGTTTTCTTGTTTTTTTTTTGTTTTGGTTTCTCTTTTTTTTGTTTAATTTTTTTGTTTTGGTTTTTTTTTTGTTTTTTGTATTTTTTTTTTGTTATTTTATATATAAATTTAATATTAATCAATTAGAAATATTATTATTTATTTTTATTAAATATTATTACATCTGGTCAATAATAAATGTGAGTATATATTTTAAAAAATATAAAAGTCTAGTTTAAGTATTATTTTTAAGTATTTATTACCATGTATGCGATTATAATTATTTGGTTAATATCATTATATCACCAATTATAATAAACAGTATAGCGAACAAAAAAGTAGATATTTATACATATTGTTTTAATGATAAATAATGCTAAAATTCTATTTATCATATTATATTATTTTATTCATATTATTTATATATGTCAAAAACTATTTCTAAAAATCATTAAGCATTAGGCATTACCATGTTATTTTCATAAAAATGTAAAAGTGTTTAATATTCATTTCCTTTTAACAATTTAAGTAAAAATAATAATTTAAATAATTATAGTTTATTTTTATGAACGAGAGAGTAATTAGCATAATTTTAACTGGTACCTACGACCACTCCATGGGCGTGCTCAAGATTAATTGAAAAATTACTTTGAATAATTGTAAAAAATAAATGAATTATTTCAGTGTTATAAAGTGTTATGTGTATGTAAACAAAAGTGACCTCTTCTATCACACACTATATTAGAACTGACTGGCCTACATTGAAAAGGGTTTTAAAAAATTCACATTTTTTTTTTTAATTTTTAAAAATTACAAAAGAGAAAAAGAATTTTTAAAACCGTCTAAGGTATGTTAAATAGATGAATAAAAATATTAATATAAAACTTACAGCTACTTGTTACAAATCCAAATCAGATTCAGAAGATGAACTTTCAGAACCAAGATTTATAATAACTGGCTCGATCATTTTATCAGTAATATTGTCCAGCTTCCACATTTTTTCCTCTTCTTTAATAGTGTGCACATTATTTACGGCCTCGAAAAATAACTGTTTAACATCACGAATTTTAAAAGTGGTATATTTTTCTTGAAACTTCACTCTTTATCTGTGCCCATACCAGTTCAATCGGGTTTAATTCACAATGATATGGTGGGGATCTAAGTACTGTCATTCCACGATTTATGGCAATTTCATCAATTTCGTATTTTTTAAATTTTTCTTTATGAAGGGCACACAACGAATAAAGTTCCTTTCTTATAGATCCGGGATGGTACGTAATATTTTTTGAACTCAGCCAATTCTGCAAGTCTTTTTTTGACCACTTGGTTGTGGGCAGTCCTTCTATAAGTCTGGAGTGATAACTTGCATTATCCATTACTATTACACAGTTCTTAGGAAGAAGATCTATCATTTGTTCGAACCATTCTTGAAAGACATCAGCGTTCATGTCTTCACGTCACCGGTACGAGTTGATTCAAAAGTTAATAAACCACCTTCAACAAAACTGTCTGAACTGCCAATGGGTACTATTATCAGCCTGCGTCCCTTTCCTGATGGTGGGTTTAAACCAGTAGATAAGTTATTTACAAAAGCGTGCCTTTGACTTGTAACAGTTTCATCCTGCCAAAATTTATTTGGTGTATGACCCTCGTTGATCCATGTTTCATCAAGATAAAATATTTTTCTTTTTTGGTTCTTCATTTCCTTTATGGTTCTTAGAAAATGTCTTGTCCATATGACAATATCGCTTCTTTCTAATAAAATAGACTTTCTGGGATTCTTTTTCCAGCGGAAGCCTATTTCTTTTAAAAGTTTCCATAACGTACTTCGACTCATTTCTGGGTAATCCTTATCATCTCGAACTGAGACAAGAACTTTATCCAATGTTGGAAATTCTTGTCTAAAGAAGAATTCATACACTTTCCGTCGAAGTCCTTCTTTAAAATGATATTCTATTTGAAATGTTGGTTTCCCTGGAGCATTACGTGGCATTTGAAAACTACCACATTTCTCTTCTTTAATAACTCTGTAAATCGTAGATTTCCCAACACCAAGTGTACTGCTAACTAACTCAACGGTCTCATCAACACTTTCACATAAACGTTTGTCTGTAAATGATTTAAAACAATTAAATATTAATGTTTTTTCATTAACTGTTAAAGGACCAATTTTTCGGCGTTTACGCGGCACTTCCAAATTTTCCATAACACTAGTATACACAATAAACTGCACCTTGCAACTGAAGTACCTACTTTTAGTGAACTGTTAAGAATTTTGAATACGCCACTTGGACCTTCCTACAAAATGGAAAACCCACTATCACATTTTCTGTGGAATAAGTTTAGAAGGTAATTATCTAGTCAATTACTGTCGTAGATTCCTGGAATTAAAGAATTAAATGTTTGATCGTTGAAACCCTTACTTCGTGGAATGCACTCATTTCAGATAAAATAAAACGTTTTATTTTATCTAAAGAATTAAACTTTATTTTGCAAATAGGTAGGTACTTATTAAACTTTTATTGGTTATATATAACCAATAAAATAAACATCTTACATTTCTTGCAAATTCATTATTACCTGTTAACCTCCATCACTCCGACACTGGCAACCTTATTTAGGGATTAGTAACCCTCACAACTATTGTATTCTATTCTGCTCCTTTAACCTTTATACCTGGTGGTCATACTCAATTTAAAATTGTTTTCCTATATACTTCTGTAAACTTGTTAACAAATATCTGTTTTTCATTGAGTCACCCGTATCAACAGTTTAGGGATTTGCATACATAATTTATTGTTTTATTACTCTCTCATACATAAAAATACACTATAGTATGTAATACTGATATTGAGAGAATATTAGGATTGCCATATTTTGCTGAGCTGAAAAATTATTACTTTATGAATTAAATAAAATAATATAAAAAATTCGAACATCGAAGTAAAAAACTTTTGAAGTAAACCGCTGTTATAAGTTGTAGGTATATTTAATAAAAAAAAATAAATTAAATCCAAATGCATTATACAGTTCAGAACGTTTTCGGACGAATTAGTCAATCTCTAGTGAACTTTTGTAGTACTTGCGTAACTAATCGCAAAACCAAACAGTAGTTGGGTTTACATTGAAGTAAACATACGTATTAAATGATACGGCAATATGCTGATGTAATTGGATCACCAACCGGGAACCATGAGTCCCTACTCGAAGTACAATTTCTATATACGAACTATCTTATACGAATATACGATCTTTCTATATACGAATTATCTGAAGCTCAAAGGGAAGATATTTTCAAAAAATATTGGAATGATACAGCAGATTATAACATCAATAGGCAATTTATATTATCTTGTGTCCAAACGAGACCTACGATAATACGAAATATACGAACTTTCGTACGGGGATTAGCAAACATAATAATAGTTGATGACATAAAAACAAAACAGTTAATATGATACGGCCATGTACAGAGAATGCCAGATGACAGGATTCCAAAACAGATTTTGACGTGGACACCACAAGGGAGAAGGAAAAGAGGAAGGCCGAGAAGAAGCTGGAGAGAGGGAATTAAAGAAGAACTAAAGGAAAGAGAAATCCCTCCAGGCCTATGGTTGAATAGAGAAGAATGGCGGTTATTAGTCGGAAGGCGTTGGGGAACGCTGTAAACCGAGAGTAGTAGTATTAGCAAACTCTGAGAGTTGGCAATTAAGGCATTGAGATAGTTCTAGAGTCAGGTCAAATACAGGTACAGTACAGGTAGTTTACAAATAAACCGGTAAACGTGGTAAACCGACTGATATTAACACCCTGTATAATTATTAAACAATAATTATATAGGGTCATCAACGGAATCAACAAAAACCTAATTAAATTTTCCATTTAAGCCAAAGTTTCACAATTATTGCTTCACTTTGTATAATTATTATTTATACCATTGGATAGCCTTTTTATAGTCTTTTCAATGATGTATCACAAGTACGGGTTTGCAATTTAAACTTTTTTGTTGTGATTGGTGGGGTGTAGGGGGTTGATGGGAGTGAGTTTTCTTTCATGTCATTTTAGTTTCCCTTACTATTCTAGAAACGGTTTCAATATTTTTTCGATATCAGCTTTTGTTCGTGAGATATAGCCCATTGTAAGTTTTAAAATCAATACACTGTATAAATGTTAAATCACATCAAAAAATATGGGAGAATGGTCCGAAGAAAGGTCAAATGAAGGTTTAATATTTAAAAAGTTGTTACTAATTATATGTTTATTTTTTTTTAGATGTATCCACCAGGTACAATGTACGCTGCCGGCTATCCAACATACTTAGGATATCCAACTTACGCCCCGATGCAGTATTATCCTTCTCTAGGTGCTTACTCATATGCCATGCAACCTGCGCAACTCAGGCCAACTATAATGATACCTGTAAGTGTTTTAATTTGAAATGTAAAATATATTTTCATATTTTTGTATTATTAAGTGGTGTTGCATATGAAGAACCATTCCTGAAATATTTTGTAATTTTTTTCTTGTATTTATCTGTATTTATCCAGTTGTCAGAAAAACTGCTGAAGAAATCAAAACTTGTGTCCTGGGTTTATAAGCCGTGGGAAGCTTTGCACATTCACACCAAATATAACGGTTGAGGACATAATTGCTAAGTCGAGACGGCTATTCGGGATATCGTAGACAAACTTTACAAATACTTGGACCAACCAATGTGCCGAAGAGTTTTAGTCAACTGAACAAGGCTACTTCATTTTTCTTCTTCATGTGCCATCTCCGCTAAGGTTTGCAACCAACATGGCATTTCGCACTTTTGATACTGCTGCTCTGAAGAGGTCATCAGAAGTGCAGTTAAACCAAGCTCTCAAATTGTTTAACCAGGAGATTCGTCTTCTTCCGCTACTCTTTCTACCCTGTATTTTTCCTTGCATTATTAATTGCAACAAGTTATAACGCCTCTCTACTCTACTCTGCTTCTACTGAACAATAAATTAAGAAAAATGTATGAATCACAGAGGCACCACCACCACGAGTGTATGGCCTTACCAAAATTCACAAGTAAAATATTACTTTTAAACTTATTGTTAGAGCAATTCCATTTGACCAACTGAATATGACTTTTCTATTGGCTATTGAGAAAGTATTAAGACTGAATACTGTACTGGAGAGTTTCGACATAGTTTCATTGGTTACACTTGTGCCAGTTTCATGGTGCCAGTTGGTGAGCATTATAGTGCGTTAGCCAGCACTAAATAAAAACATCATAAAAGTGTCAACCGTAATATTGACCAACAAGAGAACCAAAATATATGACGAATCGAGGGGGAAAAATCTTGCAAAACACGACATCAATTCCAAATTTAAATCAGCGAAGATGATAAGAGTATAGAGATACAAATCTGAAATTGGTTAAAGATCCAAGAGAACAGTTATCCAATCCAGGAATTTACAGTATTTCCTGTAGTTTTGCTTTAATATTGTAATGACAAAACATGCGCAAATGCTAGTTTAACTAAACACGATAGGAACTATTGTCTTAGTCACTGTGAAATGTGTCGAAACATCGAAATTAGATGTATTTGAGGCTATCGAAATCCAAAAATACTGTTCTCAATTTTAACCGAAACGAATGGATCAGTATTTAAAGTGGATGTGAATCTCAGTGGTACAAAATAGGAAACCTAGACCCACCATAAATTATAATACCGATTCAGACCAATCGACATAGCCCAAGGAACAATGCTGGTTTTAAGGAATGCAGATATTTTAGAACACCAGTGAACAATGTGCCATTACAAAACAGTGACCGCGAACACTTGAATTTTTTTTATGTTTAATGTAGGCTCAAAAATTTGGTTCTATTATTGTTCAGACAGTTCAGACAAAAGTAAAAGTTGCTGTCGAACAGGCAGCTAAACTGAGATGGAAATGGGCTGGACATAACGAACGTCTTACGGATGGCCGATGGAATAAATAAATCGGGAATTGGCGGCCATATGAAGCCAAAAGACGTCTTACAAACAACAGGGGTGAAAGGCGAGAATTAGGAGAAGCCTATATTCGGCAATCCGAATAGAGAAAAGGGATTTAAAAAAAAATAAAAAATCTTGCAGTCTTGCACTTTTAATCTACGAGGTCTAGCAATTAAGTTTCAAGGCTGCTGATAAACTGTCATTTCGCATTCCAACACTGCTCCATGCAAACCTTTCACCGTGCGAAATAGCACAGGCTGTTTAGTAGCAGCGCCGATTTTGCTTTACGTCCTCTAATGACTCGTGGCGGATTCCTTTCATGCAGAATTTAATTTTTGGGTACAGCTATAAGTCACAGAGGCCAAATCTGGCGATTTGGTCGGGTGTTCGATGACTGACCTGGACTTTGGCCAAATAGTTCTTGACAGAGTGCGAGTTGTCGTGTAGGGGGATCCAGGAGTTCTCTTTCCATTTCGGGCCTCATTTTGCGAATGTTTTCTCGTAGTCTTTGTAAAACTCATAAATAGTAATGTCGGTTATCTTTCTGGCCATGCGCTTCTCATTACAACTGAACTACACCCTGTATATCGAAGAAAACTATCAATATCGAGTTGTATTGTATGTGATAAGAGGCATATATCATCAGCGTAATCTAGATCTTCCAGTCTGTTTGTTTACCCCCATCTCCAGTAAATTCCTCTATTACAGTTTACCTTTGTTAGTACGGAATCCAGTACAATGTTAAATAGATGGGGGATAAAACACAGCCCTGTTTTACTCCGTTTAGCACAGCTATTGGGTCAGATTATGTCGTTGTGTAGAACCTTCTGTATTACGGTACTTCTTTGATAAGATTTTTTATTTTTACTGGTATTCCCATTTCCTGTAGTGCTTTCCATATGGCCACATGTGTGAGCGTGTCGAAGACTCTCTTATGTCCACAAAGCATATGCAGAGTGGGGAGTTAAATTCATGTGACTGTTTTATGTTTACTATAAGTGTGTTAATTTGGCCAAAGCATGTCTATTTGCCATTACTGGATGTTGGCAACAATTTCGGCGAACTGTATGCGGTTTTGTGCCGTTCTTAGGAGTGTATGTGAATTAACTTCTCTTCAATTATGGATTTTTTTCACCCAAGAACACTGCCTACGACAGGTCGTGTGGGGCCTTTTATTTTTCTCCTGTAATTAGTTTTGTGAGCTCATATCACTGTTGTCTAGTTATATGTCCTAGGTATGCAGTCTTTCTCATCTTCATTAATGTTGAAAGTTCTCTGCTTTTTCTCATTCTTCTCAAAACATCATTTGTAATGTGATCCATCCAATATATTCGACGATTAATAGGTGTTTCCTTTATTAGGCTGCTTTCCAGTCTGTCTACTACTCTGTCAAACATTGTAGATCTTCCAAGCATTCAGCTATTAGTTTATTTTTATACTATCATTAGGTCGACATTTTTGTATAGGGACGTTTATGAAAGACTTCTTTCGTCCCCATTGAATTCCTGAATCCAAACTGTTCGCTAGTATCCTGTTCAATTGTTTGATGTAAGAGAGATTTTGAGTGTATGAATCATTAAATTTATTTTTCTATGATATTGGTATTATTTTGCATTTGTTTATTTGAACAATGCAATGAAAGTAGATAGATATTAGCCAATCTAGAATTTCTGTGCCGTATATTGTTTTATGCAAGCTATATTTTGCTATTGCGCTTTGGTTTTCTTTTATTAATTTTATTAAAAGTATATAACTTTTATTAATTTTTTAATAATAGGATCTAGGTACTGCATTATTGTTTTTTGTGAGTGTAATTATGTTTTAGTAATAGTTCTTACTTTCGCCTCTTTTATCCCATTTCAAAATTCCATTGAAACCCATAAGGCACTGAAATTGTACATTAGCTCAATTTAACTGACTAGCTTCTTTGGTTTGGTAGTTACAGGCTGTGACCATATGGTAACACTCGGTAAAAGGAAATAATAATAGAGTATATTTAAATATTTCTTTTAATTTGTTTCTTAGTAAGAGCTTCTTAAAAAGAGCATTTTACCATTTATTTGGTGTAAATAATACAGAAACAGTCTATAAAATTTTCAACGTCACATTTCTTACACTCTGCATGTCCTACAGAACTACAACCTTCGCCAGCACATAGTCTTCTTTTATTATTCAGTGCAGAACTAACCAAATGGTGTGGTAACGCATCTTTCAATGAAAATCCTCGTCTGCAAAAAGTATAAACAGGCCAAACTTTATACCTTGTGTTACCATATGGTTACAGCACATTTTACTCAAAAAATACTCGCCAATATATCAATAGTCATTGTTGAATGAAATACCACAAAAAATATCACTGTTTCTCTTTCATTTGGCAAAATAAAAATTAGGATTATAATTACTAAAAACTAAATTCAACTAAATTCATATTGACCTATCAAAAAAAAAATGTTTTTGAGGCTACTTTACGCATTTCCTGGACGCAGGAAATTCATTATTTCAAAATAAAAAGGACGCTGTCAATATTATGCAGCGTATTCCAATATCTACTACTTCAAGCACAATGAATACACAGGTATTGGCAGATGAAACATACAAAACGTTAAAAAAATCTTGGCTGTCACTAAATATGTATTTTGCTTTGGCATTGGATCAGTCATGTGACATTATAGATACAGTACAGCTTGCAATTTTTGTGCGCTACCTGGACAGAATCATTGAAGATTTGAAGAACTTTTGACTATTTTGCCAATGTCAGGAATTACTACAGGAGAGAATTTACACAAGGCTGTGGTGGACTATTTTGGCAAGGATAATTTGGATTTTAAAAAAGTTATTTCAATAACTACGGACAGCGCTGAAGTGACGGTTGCGGTGATAGAAAAGGCTTGGTTCAGCGACTAAGTAGCGATCCTATATGCAGTGGAAACCTAATATCGTATCTTTGTATTACTTATCAAAGTTTGTTGTGTCGCAGTTTAAATCCAAATCTTTACAGTAAAATGCAAACCGTCATGAAGATAGTGAACTTTACACTCTTACATCTTCATGCAAAATCATCTTTGAGGCATCGTCAATTTAAATCATTCCTAGAAGACACTAATGCTCAGTTTGATGATTTTCTTCTTCATAACAAAGTGAGACGGCTAAGCAAAGGTTTAGAACTTGAAATATTCTTTGCAGCACTTGATAACAAAAAGGATTTCTGTCTACTATTGATAATGAAACTGCAAATGACCATTTAGGTTTCCTCTTGCACACAGAAAACATTGCAACTATCGCATTTTTGGCGGATATCTGCATACATCTGAACTTCTTGAATTTAAAACTACAATGCAAGGGAAAACTTGTTTGTGAACTTCTGTCGGATATTAGAAGTTTTTCTAAAAATATCAAACTTTTTTTCTGGGGATATTAAGGTAGAACTTTTGCATTTTCCTCTCCTTAAATCAGTTTGTGATAGTAATAAAGATATTGATGTTACCCAGGTCTCACGTTTTATTACGACTTGATTTGGAATTTAAAAAACGATTTGATGATTTCTAAAAAAAATGTAAAATGTTGTGCAACTGTTAAGCAAAGGTTTTTTCACTCAAGCCTAATGGTGTATGGACAAGTGAAGCAGCAATCTTTTTTAAGAGTAACAAAGCTGCTCTTCAGATGAAAACAATACACCATTTATATTTCATTTACTGTATCGGGAAAGTATTCAACTGTATAGTGGCAAACAAAAACAATGAGATATTAGTTTGCTTTTTCATAGCAGTTTTTGCCCAATAAAATTGTTGAACTCTATAGCTGCAGAAAGAATACAACCAGACACCAGTAGTGTTAAATGATTAAATTAAAGATACAAATATTTCAAATTACACCGCAAAAATTATTAAACAAAGACGGAAGAAAAAAGAATATAATAGCTGTATAATTATCTTTTTCCTTAAGTTTATTTCATACCCCTCCCTAAACGAGGTTTAGTTGAATGGTTTCAACTTCCTAACCCCCCTTCTGAGGGGGTGACGAAGTTGAACCAAGGGGAGTTACATCTACTGGAGGGTTTCTGGATACTTGAGTATTCACTCAGGTACCTGAGTTTCCGGACCGCCGAAGTGTAGTAGGTTACCGAAACGTACCCTCAGGGAATATAATTTGTGACCCCTGCGATAGAATATCTACTGTCACTGGAAAAAGCAGTTTTTGACTAGATATATCTACGTACAAAGGATATATTTGTGTGACCATAATGATCACGCATGGCAAAAATTGGTTAATTAAAAATTATAAAGATGTAATCTTAAAACCGAGAGGTCTAACATAAAGCCGAAGCCTGAAATTAAACATTTTACGCTAAAAAATTCATATTTTCTTTACATTCCTTAAATTTATGAAATATACAAATTACTTGTAATTTATTGCAAAAAGTATTATATTATAATTGTAAACGTAAGTGATATATTCAAATTAATTCTTTTTTCCAGAACGGTTACGATGCAGGTGCAAGATTTGACGGAATAGCTCAACAGGTACTTCCCCCAGCTCCACCCGGTGTCCCCCCATCAGCAGCACAACTAGCAGCAATGGCCGGCCATCAGGTGGCTTTAGGACAGAAGAAAAACACCTTCCTAGCCGGAGGATCTGACGGGGGCTACACTTTTTGGTAGAAAAAGCTCGAAATTAAAATAGGAAAAACGAAATTGTTACATTTTATTTTGACGGACGGATGCCCCGACATTAAAAAAACAACAACGTCGATAGGGGTTTTTAAATCTAGTCCTTAGTTAATAGGCCAGAAGTTAGTTACTCGGTTCACAAGAGGATGACGTAATACATTTAAATCGTAACCTTATATACAAGTTTAAATATAATTCAATTTAGATGTATAATATTGTTTCTTTTTTAATAAAATCATAAGTTCGTTAATCATTAGTAACCACAAATTAAAACATTACCAATTAGTTTTATCACGGTATGTATTTAAAATATTTTTTGCCACAAGCAGGTGAATGGGACATCTCAGTGTAATGCAGAAACAAAAATGGTTCTGCCTTGACACCGAATAAATTTTACAAAAGCTTCAAAAATTAGTTAGGCTTGCAATAATTTAACCTTAGTGTGTCTTCAACCAGTCGTTACCTTTGAGCTCATGCTATGAAATGACATTTGACACTTAACTCAAATTGTCTTTGTCGAAAAAACGCATTCAACAGTAAAATATGATTTAAACATCTACTAATATTTGAATGGTTTAATTTTCGACGGCTTTATATTTGATTGATTAGTTTTTGTTTTTGTATTTATTTTGAAGTCCCAATCAGTTTTACACCTAAATTAATATTTTTTTATGTTTATAAATAAAAATATATAGTTACTCCATTTAACCTAGTTTGGTATACCTTAACTGGCCGACTCTGATAACAGATAAAGAATTTCAGAGTGAATTGGATATAAACGTCACATGTCACATAATAAATGACATGTAACATTTATACTGTTTTGTTATTTTAAAGAAACGTATTGGTTAAAAATTCGATAGTACTGACAGTTATGAATAAAAATTCGTTAGTACACGTTGAATAAGTAATAAAACATGATAGGTATTAAACAGCTACACCTTTTTGGTATTACAATATTATTAAAAATATGTTTCAATTTTAAAACTTGGCTTTTAAGCGACAAGCACTGTTGGTCCTAAAAATCAATGGTATCAATCAATCATAGCGACAGCGATGGATAGGTCCGATTGTATCACTGCTTCACAAAGATCACAGACTTCAAATCATAGAAAAATCCCTTGTTAATATGAACGACTGATACTTAAGTGCCGAATATTGAATGCGGTCGTAATTTTCATTTACGACGCTACAAATAAAAAATCAATTTTCTTCTAAAAAAGCATAATGTATGGTTTAGTTGTCAGTATAAATTAAAATTGTGGTTAAGTTTGTTGAACTATATTATTAATTGTTAGTACGTTTGTTGTAAAGCTCCATTACAATACTAAATTGTGTTTTATGACTTCTGAAGAAAATATGAATGTAAAATTGTCGAAGTTGAAGCCTATCTTTAATAGTTTTCGTCTAATATCAACCAAACTTTGCGACGTTCTTTTGTGAATTGATAGTATATTAGCGCACTAACAACTGGCGTATAAGTGATTATTTTCTCTCTTTTTCTTATTTAAACGAGTCAGGTATGAAATAAACGTGAAAGCTCCAGTTTTATAGTTAACATGGAATTAACGAAAAAATGTTAAACAACTATTTAGGACGTAACTACAGTAGGTAAATACAGAAAACTCGCGTTTTAACGAAACAAAAAAATAGTTATTACCTCACGATAGTTCTTTTATGTTCAAAATGTTAGAAAGTATTCTCAGATATCCTTGTTTTCGTACTGTAGTTATTTTTTGTAGAGTTTATTTTTTTAATCATTCGAGTGAGAACCAACGGGAAGAGTGAATACGGTTTAATATTTTTTCTTAACAAGAGCAGTACAGTTTTTGCTGCCAATATGGTGGCAAAACATAAATTTGAGCATAACGATTACGTAGATTGTGTAATTTGCCAGTTGGTAATATGCCAATTGAATTAGAGATAGTGTAAACACTCCTGACCATGTAGCTGCGCAAAGGCAGAGTCAAAATTCACGTTAAGGCAAAAAGGTTCTTTTGTAAACCAAATTTCGCCTACTGCGCCGTGGTCAGTAGTGTTTGCCCTATATTTACTTACAGCGTCACCTTCAGTATATGCATAGTATCACTAAAGTCTTGAAAATAACCTTACAATTTTATATCTACCCTTGCATGTCTTTGTGTCAAGTTTAAAAAATTTCAATCTTATTATTAATTAGAAACACATTAATTGGCAAATCAAACGTGTTTCCTGTAATGAATTCAGATCTACATTTGACTCAAGTTCGGTTTATAATAAATAATTACTTTATGTTTCTATTCTTACTGAGTTCACTATTAATTTAATTCACGCTTTGGAATGATTAAGCCTTTACCAAAATTATTAGAACCTGTCAACAATTATATAATTATTGTTAACAAACTTTCATAAACGTGCATTCATAAACAGCTAATCTTTTTTAAATATTTCAATAATTAAATTATAAATAGTGTAATGCATATATCTTCATTAATTTGGAAAGAGTGGATCTCGAAAAAATGTTACAGGGATCACAAGCAAAAAGTAATAATCCTGAATTGAACATGTGTGAACATGACATAAAAACAAATAAGAAGTTATTTAGAGAACTGAAATAACTTCTTATTTGTTTTTGTTACTGACTAAATTGATTTGTTTTCTGTTTTTATGTTATAGATTAAACAATAGGACTCACTAATAACTATTTTTTGTTTCTTATAAACGTAACTAATGACTATTGTATATCTCAAATAAACATCAGCTTACGGAAATTATTTCCAATATTGAAAAAAATTTACTCTTCCTTGTTTTTCTCAATCTAACTCTTTTCAATTATTAGTTGAAAAGGCACTTCCTTAAAAGATTTCGTTTAATTCTTTTGTTGAAAACGTTTACTGAAATAAAAGTGTTACCAATAAATAAAGTTGGTAAATTCAATATTTGAATATCAGAAATGTTTATGTCGTAATTAATTGTGCCTCTCAACTACTTTTTAAAAATATATGCTACAGTTTTTATGAGTTCTGTGAAAATCGGTCACATTCAATTATTAAAAATGTTGAATAGATTCAGATGAAATACGTAAGTCATTGTTTTCTTCATATTTGAATTGTTTTATTTGAAAACTTCGTAATGAACTGAAGAACATGTAATGTACAATAGGCATAATACGATGCAAGGAATTTGTCAACATTATTAGGCACGTCGTTGCTGAAAAACGATATAAATCTGAACTGGTTATAACAACACACGAAGAAGAAGTGTTAAATGATTATCATTTGTAATTGTAGCTGTACTTATGAACTAATGCTCTAAAGGATGGGACGAAGAAGCGGATTATAACTCCGGCAAAAGAAAAGAAGAAAGTGTAGTGATTCTTATTTGTTAAGAGAGCTTTACATCTAGACCATTCAAGTCTTATGCTAGGCAAGTCCGTCTTAAAAAAATATCAAAACAATAACTTCGGATATTTCTCTTGGAAATTTCGGTCCGGTATTTTAATATTTGAATATATTTAAATATTAATCACAAATTATTGCATCTAATAAATAACATTTACTTTTACCCAATAAGTTTAAGTTTTATTCTGAATCATAACTAGTGGCAACATGAATTTTGACGATACATAGCATAAAAAATTAGAACACGTTCTAATTTTTCGTCTAGCATAGATATTGATTGGAAACATCGTGTGGGCATGCGCAGTTGCATAATCTGTTTTGCAAAGCACGAGAATTGCGTAATGTAAAGTCGACTATACTCTAAAATTAAGTGATTTGTTTATCCACTTTTGGTAGAGTCCGCAACATGAGAAAACAGCTGATGAAAAGAAGAATAAGAAAACTTTTTTATTAAAAAATACATAATTCAATTTATCATTAATCAATGCCGTACGAATATCTCCACAACTTTGTCATCACCAAAACCATGCCACAATTAGGGTTTTAACAACCTGAACAAATTGAAGTCATTAGAAGGTAATTCTAGACTATAGGAAGGAGATTCAGTTCACTTATCAAGAAAAGAAACTGGAACCTTACGCTGTTGATGTTCCATAAACGGTTAAAAAATATCTTGAAAGATAATGCACTTTTTTTATTATTTAATCCAAAACTTGAGTACCAATGTAAAGATAATTCAAACACTCGTGACCATGGAGCTGCGTGAAGGCGGAGTAAAGGCAGAAAGGTTCAAAGGCAGAAATCAAATTTCGTCTACTGCGCCATAGTCAGGAGTGCTTACATTATCTCTACAAATTTTTACAAACTCATAGAGACTGTGGCATAAATTGTTAACGTTCTTTCACCTTCTTTGTCTGTTTTTATTATCTCTTGTAAACCTTTCTTTCACCATAGGTTGTGTGAATGTTAATTTATAAAATACATAATCATAAGTTTACCCAAAAACAATGTCAGAGAGTTTAGAAAAAAGTTGATTCTAGTGCAATAAAAGAAAATTGAATGTACATAACCTCGTCATTGTATTGTTTTTCAAAAATCATTTTAATGTCAATAGTTATTTGATTTACAAAGGTACATGATGATTTGGTGTAATACTGTCATAGTTGGTATTTTGGTGAATCATATATTTAATTGATTGAGAAACATTTAACATAAGAAGTGTGTAAAGGAATATTTTATACGTACCTTTTAGATCACTTTTCAATTAACGACTTAAATGCATTGGCTTATTGTAAATGATATTCGCATGCATTTCTCATATGGAATGTGATATTCAAAAAAAGTGTTCTACTTACGTGAATAACGTAAATTCGTTGACTTAAAATTTACCTTATTTTTTTGTTAATATATCTAGTACTTTTTGTGCATAATAAATGTTAATTATTATTTATAACTGGAATAATATAATAAATAATTGTGCATAATAAATGTTCACGCTTATGGTGCAAAAATACAATATTTTGCTTTTAAACATTGCAAAATTCTTTAAAATTGTCCTATAAATATTGACTTTAAGCAAAACTACTCGTAAAAATATATTTTGAATTTTATTTCATGTACACATAATTAAAACAACATTTTTATTAAGATATTCTGATAAATATGCACTAATCAGTTAAATGTGGTATAAAATGCGATGCTGTTTGATACATCAGATCATCATGTGTAGTACTAGTAGGCAATAAACTCGTAGAACAAGAATCTTTGGTATACAGAACGTACACTTATAGTACAAAGTAGTTTCTTTATTTATCCAACTTTGTATTAC